ATTTTTGAATTGGTAAAACATTGTACTGTTAAACAACCTGGACCACTTTTCAAAGGTCAGAATCAAAGCAACGCATTTCAAGATGGTAACAAGCGTTTCAATTGACCCAAACTTTGTGCTTGGAGGTCTTGTCTTCGTGCAAAGAAAAATAAGGGTCTGGTCTTGTTTTTACTGCTGTCGGTAGCAGATTGCCCACAGCCACCTCTGATGGAAGACTTTTGTCGTCATTGGAAGACGTGAAGAGATAGTGCCATGTTTGGGCAGTTGCCCTCACATACATGCCAGCCTGTAGCAACAAGAAGCAACGCGACCGCACAAAACCCCACACCACGGGCCAGATCAATGGATTTCAAGCGATGAGCTGAGGAACACCCTAACGTGTCCCGGAAAACCCGAACCTCAGTGACCTCTCTCAGTGATCTCACCATCTCCTGCTCCTAAATGACCTCAGTTTGTAACATAACATCTCCTTTGTGTCCAAGTCCAAGGTTTAGGAGCCTCCCCACCCCTGAAAAGGGATCACGACCCCCTTGTTCAATCCTGTATGTCACAGCACTTCTTTGGTGATGGGTAGGGAAGGCTGTAGGTCCTGCTGGGCATGTTCCCAGTTGGCTGTGGGCCTTTCTGCACTGCAGGATAAAGTCCCCTCCAAGCTGTGGTTGTCCCAAGTCAGATTCAGCAATGCAGGAGCATGTGATTTTCTGTCTGGTGGTAAACTGGAGAGAGGGTGGAAAAAACTTTCCTCTCTTCCGTCCTCCCCAGCAAAATGCAGGCCAGCTGGAATTTGTTCTGTGACTATTACAGTTCTTGCTCTTTGAGCTACTCAGCTGCTTTTCATAGAATCATAGAATCGTTAAGGTTGGAAAAGACCCTTAAGATCATTGAGTCCAACCGTTAACCCAGCACTGCCAAGTCCACCACTAAACCATGTCCTCAAGCACCACATCTACCCGTCTTTTAAATTCCTCCAGGGATGGAAACTTAACCACTTCCCTGGGCAGCCTGGTCCAATGCCTGACTGCCCTTTCCATGAAGAAGTTTTTCCTAATATCCAACCTAAACTTCCCCTGGCACAGCTTGAGGCCATTTCCTCTCGTCTTATCACTTGTTACTAGGGAGAAGAGACCAACCCCCACCTCCCTACAACCTCCTTTCAGGTAGTTGTAGAGAGCAATAAG